TCTCACCAGTGTATTCCCATGTTATAGTCTAAATTTATTTATGAAACAAAAATAGTTTAACAATTATGAATGTGGATTGTAGGCCCTAATTGTTTTTTTCTCCTTTCATCATGAAGAAGTTTAACTAGGTAATAACGGAATCATGGACTCAACATGGTACAACTCATAGTAAGCCTACTGGCAATGTACCGGCATGTCCTAACTTCTAAAAAAAAACATAAGTGGCTAAATTTTTATACTTGACATGTTTTGGCGTATTCCTTAGACGTTTCAACGTAACTAGATTCATATCATATTTTGAATTAAGTATGATGAAATCTTCGTAGAGTTATTATTAGAATTTCACGTTTGTTCGCGAAAATTGAGGGCGCCATACATTTATGAAAACGAAAATAATATCTGCAGTGCGATGTTAAAAATGTATTTAAATGTATGTTTATTTCGTTTATTTATATTGTTATATTCGTTAATTATCTTAATGATATTATTTTATTGGGTTTTTATTTATCATTTTAGAGGTAATGGAGCGCAAATAATTGTTGTCTGTTGGGTGTGGATGACATGGGTTTGATCTTCTCGCTTACTTTGCTTATATTCCTTCCATTTTATCTATTTATTTTTTAAACTGATGTTGTTTATGTATTTGCCTATGAAATTATACATGTTTAGGCCAAAATAATGCGTTATATCTTCAACGTGTAATTTGAAAAACTGGGAAAGAATTGTGGGTTGTTCCTGTAATCGGGTAAGGGACTCCACTCTCAATGACAGTGGCGGCGCTACGGAGGGAGGTGGAGAATTCCTCAGAAAATGTTCTTTCCCCCCACCCCCACTTTCTAATAAAGGAGAGAAAACACAATTCGTCGGGGAGAAAAAAAAAATTATATTTAGGCCTATTTTCTACATATTAATGGACTATCTATATACTGTATCAGATCGATTAAATAAGCCTCTGAAACCCCTAAATTGTTAATTTTTTCGGGGGCTCCGAAACATTTTAATCGACGCCCGACCACGCCCACTTTGCTCTCGATGGGGACCTTTTTCTTTGGTACCACTTCTCCTAACCATCCATTACAAATTACGGGGCAGAAATTGATGAAATAATTGTAAATTATACAGGTAGATAGGGCTACCCAATTTAATACAATTAATGTAGCCTGCTGCATTTTCACCCCTGGTGCTCTGCTCTGACGGAAGCTCTTGAAGATAAATGTTGGCCTACTTGTCATTTTAGCTAAATCGGTTGTGATTGTGAATCTCACATTTTTAACTAGGAGGTGAAGATAAATATAAGTGATTTTGCTTTGTAAGCTAACGTATTCTTTTATCTTCCATTGCTTATTATTTACTTGAAATACATAATCCTATTAATAATGTAACGGCGTTTTAATTGTATGTCTTCTCCGTATTTTGATCGTTTTCAGACCTTCAATAGAAAAGTTATTAGCGTTATGTTGTCCTGATATTAGACTACCATAATTGAGTCCCATCTTTCTACCTTTTGAGGTGAAGATAAATATAAATTGATGTTGCTTTGTAAGCTACTTTTTATCTATCTTGTGGATACGAGAGTAGTTGATATTACCGGTTTACCGGCCCAGCCCAGACACGAAGCGATCCTTAGGGGAGAAGAGAAAAATGTATGAGATACTGTGTAGTCTACGCTTTGAGCGCTCTGATCTTCATGGAATAGCGCTATATAAATGTTATGTATAGGCCTATCTTTCATTGCCCTTAATTATATAGGTTACGCACCAATAGGCATATTATAGTTACTTGGATTATTTAATCCTATTGATAATGTAGCGGCGTTTAATTGTATGTCAGCCTCCGTATTTTGATTTTCTAGGACATTTTCAATAGAAAACTAATTATGTTATGTTTTTTGAATTTATTGAATAATAAACCCAGGGCTATGACCTACTACAGGGTGGCACCATACGTTGCAAGGTAAATATATGTATACCTGAATTATACAAAGATTGATAATCACCTGTCCAATCACATATCAAATTACGCATGCGCTTATCAATTCATTAGGAACGAATTGCATTTTCTTTAATTTGCCATGGCTTTATATATTGATACTCTATCACATTAGAGGTAACTCTACATCACATCATACGAGCAATGCTTCCATTATCACACATAGATATCTATTCTTTTTTTATTTATCGTTCTTAGTTTGTCAGCTTCAAATGTTATAGGCCTATTTAAAATTGAATATGTTTCCGAGGCTTAAGTTTAATTCACTACACTACAATATTATTGCATAAGCCTATTATTATTATTATTAATATAGGCCTATCAACGTTATCGTCCATTATTGTAGTATTAGACGCAACTCATAATTATCATAGGCCTAATTATTAATATTGTAAATTATCATTATTATTTTTATTGATATTACAGTACTATCATTATTTAATATATTTTTTATTGATTTTGTAATTCCAATTGTCATTATTACGATCATCACCATTGTGCTGCTGTATTATAATACACAATAACATTTTGTGTATTTCATTCACCATTCATAATATAAGGGAATTCAGCAATGTGCAGTCTTGTACACTTGGGAAACATTAATATGATCAGGAAAGTTGGAAGTAGACCTTCAGGCAGTTGTCATGCCAACTCCCCTGGGCCGACACAAACAGAGGGTAGGGATAAGTAATCACGTGAGTCATAGAAACTGATTTGCATCAAAGCCATTATTTCTTCTGTAAATGTTGTTCGTTTACTGTACAGTATCTCGAGGTCTGATCACAGTTCTGTTGTACGGGCGGGAGGGGGTAGGGGGTAGGGTGTGTTTCAGCGGAATAGGCCTACACCAGAGGCAATTAGGGTTGATATTAAGTTAAACCTGTTTTTGATTGTATTTTTTAAAATTTATTTGTTTTATTTATTTCCCAACCAACAGCGAAAAATCGCAACTTACAGGATGGACATAAAAAATATAGTATAAACTCTAAAAATAAGGAAAAACAGTCAGGACAATTATAAAAAGTACATTCTTTTCGCTGTTCTTAACTATGTATGTAGTATTCATATATAATGTACAGACAATTTAATCTATTTTGCCATTACTTCAAGTTTCACGGACAAACGGAGACAATAGTTCGTGATGTTCTGCTTATATTATGTTCCATGCGTTGATCAAAGTTTTCTTTATTGGCATATTCTTTCATTGGACTGGTTTGTTGCCATGACGACACATAGCAACTAATTCTGTTCTATTCTTTATACTAAGGCCCCCTTGTGCATAGTATTTTCAACTTCTCTTTAGGGCGAGACATTTTTTAATTCCTATTTTCGAGATTAAGATCATCGGAGGAGGGTGAAATTAAAATTTATCTTACAGTATTTAACAAATGTTTTTGCCAAAAACATCCAGACGGAGCAGAAAATATAAATAAAATTTTATTGGTGAATGTAAAATAGGATTATTAAAAGCTCCAAATTAATATAATTAGGAAGATACATATCTTATCTTTGGTGATTTCAAGGCAGCGGAGTGTGTAATAAAAATAAAGAAAAACATTTTTTTTTTCTGAAATTTCCACTTTTCTTGGCGGCGGGTGCGCTAATTGGCCAAAAATTTCGAAATCATAAATATTTGCAGTCGGCGGGTTTGTTAAACAAAGTACAAAAAGTCTTGCCTAATGTGTAGGTTGCATTGGCCAATTTACATTTTTTTTCAGTTCCCATGATAGTTCTGTTGTAGCTGTTTTTTTTTTTTTTTTGCTTATTTTTCGTGCTTAAGTGAGTTTTTGTGAATATTGTATCTCTACGTCAATCAATTTTCCCTCAATATCCCTACTTACGATTTTATTTTATTCATTTATTTCATGCTTTGCACATGAATGCGCTGGTTAAGCATTCACCTGGTGGGGACTATTGTCTTTGGTTCTTTGCCTAGTTTTTTATATACATTTGTATTTTTTATGGACAAGTCAATAAATGAATCTGAAATCTTGTTTTATTTTCTTACTTTTCTAGCCTCGTCATTGTTTTTATGCAGCGATAACTTATATTGACACATACATACTATATATATATATATACTGTATATAGTGCCAAGAAGAGAGGCAGCATAAGCCTGTAAGGTGGCCCTGGAACTGTAACTTAACCTAAAAAGTAAACTACAGTATACCTCTACAGATAAAAAAAAATCACCAAAAAAAAAGGAATAAAAAAAAAAACATCAACAATATTATATCATGTGGTTTATATATATATAAATTTGGAGATAAAATGTGTTTATACCATGTTTAATGTGCTACACAGCATGCATACGATTGCTCTCTTCATCTTCAAGTGAATGTAATTTTATCCAACTGTCCCCAAAAACGCAGGCCTTCTGCCATGTACAGTATTTTAATTTACGCCTATCTTTGTATTTGCTGCAGTCAGCCATTACTAAACATAACGTAAATAAAACAAGACAAACATTGCTAAAAATATTTTTATAATAAGACTTTATTAAAAATTAGCAAATTATAATTAAAATTACAGAGTTGAATTGAAATCATATATGATATTAAATCATATGAATTTTATATTTATTAATTATTGTTTCAGTTTAAACTCACACTAAGATTATGCAACTAAAAGCTATGATACAATAACAATAAAAACATACGGTCATTATGAACCAATGTTATATCATTCTAAAGTTGTACTGTAGATGAAGTTCAATATCTGTACAAGAATCATAAAATAATACTAAAACAAATGAGGGATTTACACAGTA